CAGATATGTGGACCACGTAGCTATCTCCGCAATAGTGAAACACCAGTAATTCTCGGTTCATTGATCGCAGTGAGATGAATTAAAACATGGCGTAGTTGCTGACCGCTAATCCAAATTAGACGGTCCACGTGAACTGTCACCACCACGACCACGAGAGATCCAGAACATCGCTTGGGGAGGGGTGACCCTAGCTTAGGGCCAAATTACAAAAGTCGACCGAAGTTTTTAAAAACTCATCGGATTTATCTTCCGCATTATTAGAGGAGTCTTCAAAAATCATTTTTCCGCTTAAAAGCAGCTTAAGTTTTCTTCAAAGTATGTGAATGTGCCATTTTACCCACTTGGACCATCCTGGAGATGGCATGGCAATGGCCCGGTCGGCGTCTTGCACGCAGTGGTATCTGCTGCCATACTCTCGCCAAACGCCTGCTCTACCAAACAGGCGTCTGGATTATCCGGCACCACGCCCGAGAGATACCGTCAGTCCGCGCTCGGTGATAAATGTCTCCGCGTGTCTTCCTCAGTCCAGCGGTCTGTCGGCTCACTCACGCTACGTCGATCTCCATGCATTATCGGGAGAGCAGGGCGGAGGCGGCGACGGTTTCGGGTATCAAGGCTTCCTGAACAACTGAAGAGGGGTAGAAAAGTTGGCGCTAGAGCGTGTGTGAATGAAAAGTGCATGCACGCAGCCTGCACGTAGTCGCTATGCTGCGGCGAAAATTGACCACGTGTCGGGAATTAAACTAAGCGATGGTGGCATGATCGTGATGTGTGGGTTTTCACGGCATGGCATACGTGCATCTTAAACAGCCTAAAAGCGCAGAAGCCTTCGGACGCGCTCTTGCCATCTCTAGGGAAGGGAGAGGGGGGAGCATGCTTCCAAAAGCTGCACCCCCTTTGGCTACACCACTGCTGTTGAGAATGAAATTAGCATGAAAAAGCGGTTTAGAGGTACACAGCTCGTTTCTGGTACACCGACAATCACTTCAGACAGCACAACAAATATAATCCCCTACGTTAATCTCTAGGTTAGCGCGCGCCCGGGTGGCCGGTTAAATACCCTTCGTTCGGGTGGGGGTCAATTTGCCTCCCCCTGAGATCTCGGAAACTAAGAGAGCTAGAGACACCAAATTTATAGGGTGTGCTGACCTATGTGTTAACTCACTTAGATCAAAGTTCTAGGTTCTTAGTTTTTGACCTTCAGGTCAAATAAGGTCAAACAAGGTTAAATCCAGGTCAGTCTCCAAAGTGCCCCCATAACCTAGATAACTGTTTCTAAGCAAAAGGTCACATGCTCAGTTAAGATCAGTGACCTTGTTTGACCTTTTGAAGGTCATGGTGACCAAAATCATACAAGACTGTTCTGGGTTTGGCATTTGAATAAGCGACAAAGATTACACCAGGCAGTATGCTCCTAAAAAAATGCTGACCTGGGTCATTTCAGTTCAATGGCCTATTCTGACCTCTAAGAAGTCAATGGAAGATGCATAATGCGGTTCCTGCTATCACTAAATTTGAAATGAGCACCAGAAAATATCCCATACAGCAAGCCCTAGAGTAATAAAGCAGGTTGGTTTTGACCTTGGTCTGGCCTTGATAACTGACCTTAGATCAACGTGATTTGCTCATTCAATTTTTGTGCTGCCTAAGAAATCATTTCAGAGATGTACGGCTTCGTCTAACACTCCGTTGTTGAATCAAACTGAACAATTCCCAGAAATTTACTTCGCTGAAACCTTGGCTTGACTTTGATCTGCCATAGGTCAGCGGCCTTACAAGTTACATCCAAATTTTGTATGCCAAACAATCCGCTATTCAGTTGTCTGCAGCTATGCAAAATTGGGCGCCGCTGCGCCGTGCCGTTCGGAAACCATTCTGGAAAAACCTTTGGGGGCGGGGTCAATTTGACCCCCACCCGAGCGTTTGTTAAATGAGTACAGGACCTTTTTCCAGTGAACCCGATTGAAAACACAGCAGAGAGCTGTGTTTTTTCCTCGGCAGAGAGCATGAGCTGACCTGTAGGCTCATCGTGACGATCCAGTCACAGGTCGTTTCGGGACATGAAATCAGGCATTGTTAGCATCTTTAGGCACCAGGCTATGGTTAGCTGCTTACGCCGTTTTTCGCAGCTTTAGCCACATTTGAGGCCAAATGGCGGTGGGCTGCTCGACATCATCAACTGCAGACAAAACCAAGCGCTACAGGTTGACGGAAGACTGCTTTGTAATTAAAGTCTTGGGATTAAGGTAACAACGGGGGCGTGGTTTCCCAATCAATTGGGAACTCCAGGCCCCCAACCTGCGCTCCAGCCCCCAGGGAGGATTTCGTCATCTTTCACTGTTCAACCGCCCCCTTGACACATTTTAGGAGATTACGCCCATGGCTGCATGCAAGAGAGAAAACAGTTTAAGCACGAGAGCATGAACACCACCGTTTAATCCTAGTATCATACTTTCATGATCCTCTTGCTTTTCAGCCACCTGTCAGTTTACTACACTGGCTTAAAATCTACCAGACAAGTTTCCCAACAAGCCAGCCGAGGGGGCGTCCGATTTTGCAGCTTCCAGACAGATATCACCGCGCGCCATGGTATGGTTCGTCCATCATGCCCTGTCACATTTCAAGAGGGGAAAATCGAAACACAAGCTTTTTACGCGGTGAGGAAATCGAAACAGTATAATTACAAAAACGTGAGCTCATCTCCAAGTCTATTCATGGCTGATTTTATTCACGCGTTTTACATGCCGCTTCAATGTAATGTTCTAATACCCATTAAATGCTATTGAACTTTATTGGTTTCCGTTGCTTTTCCTTCATACAAGCAGTCTACCAAGCTCATTTGTCTACATACCAAGGATGAGATTTAAAGACGCTTATATCTATTGCTATTAACATCATTTTTGTAGGAGCGTAGTGTTATACAAACATGCCTTGTTGACATGATAAAATCGTCAGCTGTTTAGGTTATTGGCCGACATAATTACTTGGAAAATTCACCTTCGTATTCGTTGAAATGCAATTTGACAGCATCATAATCCAAAGCCAACTACTTGCTACCATTATTTGCTACATTTCAGATGTCCCAGCTTTTTGGCTTTCAGTTGGCGATTTCCATAACCAGCGACGAAACGTTGACTCTGCTCCATGTTTGGAGTTAGGCATGCAGATGCACACACCCGGCGTACCGGCGTACCACCGCCGTATCAGATAGTGTCCGGGTGTGCCACCGCTGCATCAGACAGTGCCCGGGCGTACCACCGCTGCATCAGACAATGTCCGGGCGTACCACCGCTGCATCAGACAGTGTCCGGGTGTACCACCACTGCATCAGACAATGTCCGGGTGTACCACCGCTGTATCAGACATTGTCCGGGCGTGCCACCGCTGCATCAGGCAGTGTTCGGGCGTACCACCGCTGTATCAGACAGTGTGCGGTCAAAGAGCCGTTTCGTAGCTTACCGAATGGCTCTTTGTCGACTGCTTTATGACGACTGCTTTATTGGTCAGATGTGAACTAATCGACGTGTGTCAAGAATTCGCGGGTGGTGATGGATTCATAGACGGTGCGTGTGCCTGCACGGTGCATTCGGTTTCACGTCGTTATCTACTCGGGTCGCCGAGAGCTGACATCAATCCTGAAAACGCTCCCAGACCGCCGAGCCCACGATTAGCGTACGAGTGCACGTGCACCCCAGCGCACATCGATTCATACTTCCGCCTGCACGATTGTGCGTGCTTTTCTCAGAGCAGCTGGGGCTATATGCCGTCGCCTGTCTCTCATCCTGGCAGGAAGGGCGGACGCCGTGGGGAATCAAATCCCGTACGCGCAGTTCCCAGACCCCCTCCAAAATCCCAGACAAGCAGTTCACCATGTGTCTTGGCGGTTTTTGTTAAGTTGCAAATGCCATGTTTCCCGTGGGCAACAAATGGGGCACGTTTACACGCACCGACGGCGCCCCTCCGGGCGGATCCGAGCACCAATCGATTGCAATGGGTCAGCCCGCCGTGCCCAGTTGTGCGCCGGATTTCCGCTGCCAGCTGGCACCGGCGACCAGGCGCGAATGCACCTGTACATGACGGACGGATGGACATCCCGAAAATGAGAATATTGGTGACGTGATACTGCCTGCTAGGAGGTAAAAGTCAAGAAATTAAAGTAAAATATTGCGTGGCGGAGCCGCTTTCATTGCCAGCTCGCTATCAATGTAAGTTACCACTGATATCTTGTCAGGGAAATCTACACAACGGTTCTAACTTAATGCCCGAAAGTATGATCTGAAACCTACCTGTTGCTTACGTGAAAAACAGTTAGCTTTTTGGAATTCTTCCGCTATGATTTTAGTATTCGATTGTCTCGAATATTTCAAACACTGATTCCGGTATTCAAATGCTCGCCGACTGCGAAGATTCGGTTGAACGTTCCCATATGCTGGATTTGAACCTCGCCTTTAGAAGGCACAGTGCTTTTCGAAATTGCAGTTTTATTACAGCCAGAAAGCATTTTGTCATGTCGTCGTTTTCCATGTCACCAGTTATTAAAACATGATCCCGTAACGACTCATCATTTGAACGCTCACCGTTTTGGCTTGCCGGCGTTTTGGTACGTCGCCATTTTGCAGCTCACGATATTGGCGTTCGCAAATTTGACATGCCGACTTTTTAACATGTCCTCATTTCGCTGTTCCCCGGCTCGCTTTTGCCATTCTGGCCGGTCAGTTTTCTATCCTTCACCTTTTTGCGGCCGCCTTCAAGTCGATTTGAATATTTTACGTGTCAAAATCCCACTGTCGTCTTTCAGCAGTCGACAAGAAGGCATTCGTTAAATGGTCCTTCCGGCTTTTTATTCCAGGTCCGTATCAGGACCACATCGCCGATCGCCGCGCCGCCAGGGAACTGTGAGTTGGGCTTTTGTCGTCGGATGACGCTGCGATCGACTGCCGCGGGCAGGGGCAAGCGGGTGCCGCTCGGGCGCGGGACCGGCCGTGCCCCCAGTATTCGTGATGACCCGCACAGAGCCGGACGGGAAGGAATTGGGCGGCCGCGTGGCGGCCATCCTGGCGCGCTGCCGGCAGCTGCACGTGGAGCCGGCCCAACTGCGCAGCCTGTCCGGCTACGACCGGCTGCAGCGGGCAGCGAGCGGCAAGCAGCCCCGCTGGCAGCCCTGGCTGCTACCCGGCCTACTAGCCATCCTACTGGCCGTCTTCGTCCACCAGGAGCTGTACACAGTGCAAGGCCTGTCGCGGCTCATCTTGTGGGTGGAGGGTCTCGACGTGGAGAATGAGCCGGTGGGTACAGTGGCGAGCATGCAGGGCTCCAGGGTGCGCGTTCGTCGTGAGGTGTTCGCTTGTCGTGTTACAGTGCTGCTCGGTCAGGAGGGCCGCTGCCGGTGTCGTGCTACAAATACGTCACGCGCTTCAAGCGGCGTGCTTCAGGCAGCGTGATTGAAATGTGCACACCAATTAAGGCGGCCCCTTGCGCAAAGCGGCACATCCACGGTCTGTCACGATCGCCGTGCAGGCTCACATCCTTGCTATGCTGAGGCGTAAGCCGAGCGCTCTGAAGCATGCGTGTAATTTGCAGACAGCTTTCTTTCAGAACGACGATCTGAAATTAAGAACGTTGCTAGCAAGCATCAACAATCCCATAAGTTTATGTTTTTTAAAAGCGATCTACAGAGCTGTTTACTAAAAAGTTAGACGAACGAGGGTCCGGATTTCATCCAGCCTGGCTATCACTGGATCATGCCACATGCAGATCACGCTGCCACCGGGTCATGCTTCAGAAGAGCACATACATACATGCATACATAGATACATACATGTAGGCATGCATGCATGTACACACATATACATACATACATGATACATGCATGCATGAATACAAACGTGCATATATATATATATATATATATATATATATATATATATATATATAGACTGAATTGTTGCGTGTTAATGTATTACCCCTAAATGGTGATTGAGTAGGAGGCCGTTCATAAATTGCGTTAAGAATTGTTGACCATCTTTTATCATTACTTCCCTTGGTTACGCACATTTTGCGCTGGTTGAAACATCCTCCCTGGTAACCCTCAGTTAATTGCAACGAACCAGAACAGTAACATTCGTTTAGCCTATAAAACTAAGCTAGAGATGCGAAACAAATAAGGGACGGTCTTGCTGGCAATGAGAGGTAGCCAACGGGATCGTACTGTAAGATTTTGATTATTTTTAAACATGTTTTTTAAATGATTTGCAAACGCACCTGAGCGTAACGTCACTTTTTAACAGTCCCACAACACTTTCTAAAATCTTCAACACCCTCCCTTGTTATACTTCCGTTACACTTCATCAAAACTCTCCCTCCCTGCATACGTAATGTAAGTTATGGACGGCTCCTGAGACCTGGAATTCTATTTGTAGGCATATATATATATATATATATATATATATAATATATATATATGTATGTATATATATATATATATATATATATATATAACTACATATTTATTTGAACCTAATATACGTGCCATTTTCCAATTTTAAAGCTATGTTATCATTACGTTACCACTAATTTCTCGTGCATAACCATGACATGCACTCGCATGTGCACTTGCGCTTAACCCCCCATGCACTCAGCCAATAGACGTACGCACCCTGCGTCCGAGCTTACTTTTGGACCCCACAACACCCAACGCCGTTCGAAGTTCTGGCCCAATCACGGCGAAATGCCCTCCCCCCCCCCCCCCCGCCCTTATGAGCACACAGCCCGCGTCTGTCCCAACACCGCCTGGTGCAGAACAGTTCACTGAGTTTGCATCAGATCTGAATCTGTTGTATGGCCGATGTTAACATCAGGCTGGGATCTACATTTCGATCTCTTTTTATGGAAAGAAGTAAATGCGCTTTTTTGGAAAGGTTATGCTCTCAGCACCAATCCACACAATGTAACATTGCATAGACACGCGCCCGGGCGGCCGGTTGGATAACCTTCACTCGGGCAGGAGGCAATTTGACCACGCTAAAATCTTAAAAATTCAGACAGCTGGCAATACCAAATTCGTGGGATGGGTTGGCCTGTACGTGAACTTACTCGTGTCAAAATTTGAGATTCATACCTGGGGACAAATAAGGTCAAACAAGGTTAAACTCCAGATTGATGTTTTAAGTGCCCCCAGACCTCATGCAACCGCCGCGAAGCTGCATAACTGTTCTAGCAAAAGGTCACTAATGTCATTGGCCTTTCTGACTTTTATGAGGCCAAGGTGACCAAACACCTACGACATTGCTCCTGTTTTGTCATTCACCAGGGATTTGTCAAGCACCAGGGATTACGCCAGGCGATATATTACTAAAATATTATTTTGGCATGGGTCATTTTTAGTCAGTGATCTACTCTGATCATTAAAGAATCCGTGGAACGTATTGGTGCGGTTCCTGTTGTTAACAAATTGGAAATGAGCATCAGAAACTACCTTTTAAAACGAAGCTCTCGGGTAAAAAAGCAGGCTAGTTTTGACCTCGTTCTGACCTCAATACCTTTTGTCGCCTAAGAAACTATATCAAATACCTACGCCTTTGTCTAACATTCCACTGTTGCATCACATTAAGCTATTCCCTAGAAATGCCCTTCGGTGACAGCCATGGCCCGTCGTTTACTTGCCATAAGTCAACGACCCTACAAGGTATATCAATTTTTTACCGTAAAATATCCGCTATTCAATTTTCTATAGCTAAACAAAGTTTGGCGTTTTGCGCTGTTGCGCTTCGACCTCCGGAAATCATTCTGGAAAAAAAAACCTTTGGGGACTCAACATGTCCCTCACCCGAGGGCGTGTTGAAATCTATCTGACAACCAAGACTTCGTTCTAAAAGACGGCTATACCAAATTCGGCGAAAGACTCTTGGCGACCTTTTACCTGATGTGAGCGCCTTGCACTCGGTTCACTCCGTACCATGTCGTACCATGGTGTTGTGTTGCGCGTGAGTGCCGCCGCCATTAGCTACTGGAACCTTTCGTCCTTTTGCGGAGGCCTTATCGTAGATGCTATCACGTGCAATTAAATGTGTTTCCTGTGTCAGACAGCGGCCGAATGTATGCTCGTCAAAGGGGACGATCTGATTCACATGACTGCTTCCGGTGAATTGTTTATTTGGGGAATCGCAGTCAAACTTGTGATGAATTTCAGGAGAGCAGAGTGAATCTAACTGACTCACCGCATTCTGAACAGCTGACTCCAGCTGACGTCTACAAAAAGGGCAACAGCTGCGCACAGCATCTACAGCGCTTTACCACAGAATGTCTGGAAAGATAACGTCAGGTCATGTAAAACGAACTCAAGCAACATATTTTCCATCTCTGTGTACCTTTACGCGCGACTTCCGAGTGGGACCGATGCAGGCAGAAGCGCTTCATCCTTCACTTCCAAGGGATAATTTGAGGCGACTAGTTCTCGTTGTCTTGGTTCATGACGCGACGGTTGGAGGGCTAATTTGACTCAGTTTTCTACTTGACTTGTTGCTTGACATTGTCCAGGAATACTTTCGCAAACGTCGTGGGCTTTGATGGCGTGTTGTACGTAGCTACTTCACACCTCCATCACCACTGGACTAAAACAAATATGCGCCGAGCTCATGATACGTGACGAAGTTTTCATTTTCCACATTTTTACACTGCAGGGCTTTCGGAACGAGGTCATTGGCCGTTTACCTGACAGGAACCTGGCGACCCGACACGAATTTTAAACTTTACGTTCTGGAGAACAGTGGTATCAAATCAAGCTAGCCTAAATTGCATTACGACGCATCAAAATATCGGAGATGCACCCGAAACACTGAAGCTGGTTGCAACAAACTATGCTGTTGGTGGTGGTGGGGGGGGGGGGGGGGGGGCGTTCTTCAAACGGCGAGATGGACCGAGGTGTGTACGCAAATGGAGCATTTGCCACCTGATCTTGCAGGCCATATGCCAGCTGCACTTTGTGTTCAGTAACTGTTAGTCATGCCTTTCTGTCGTCATTCTGTCGTGCTGTGTCGGCTTGGGCGCCTGCTGTTCACGGTGTGCTCTGATTTTGTGTCGTGCCACTCCGGGGAGGCTCGGTGGAGCATGCGGCATTAGTACACATACAGCAGGTAAATGCTAGCAAATACCAGCCATACGCACGTTGACTGCTGGAGAAGAGGTGCTGTAAATTGCAGCGTGTCAAATGCGTGAGGCAAAGTCATACGAGCCTGTTCGCAGTGGCGCATCTCCATCCTTGTTTTCTGACTTCAAGTCAACCATCCACGACTCGTGAGACACTCCTTGCGTGATGTCGTTCCGGAAACGTTGCGTGCTCCTTTATTTAACCAATGCCTAATGGTCGTCTTTTTTGCCTGGAGGTATGAAAAGATTACCTTGCCGTCTCTGACACCTCATTAATGAATACAATAACATCGACAGATTTTTTCGCTCCTTCATTGGTTTTTCTTCAAACATACCGACCAAACAATGAGTCGTTCAACACAACAACCAGCATTTCCTCAGTGCCTGTCAGACTTGGAAGGCTGGAGAACATAGGAGGAGAGCACCAGCCGTATCAGCTGTAATATTGTTCCAAGGTCGAGAGCTGTCAGGTCCCCGAGTTCAGCGAGGGCTTAAGGCATGAGCCGTGCCTAAAACCGTTTGGTTCGAAAGTTACGGAAAAATCTCCTGATTTCCTTGATATGTTCTGCTTTATCAGTAGTTTTGCCTGCCTATCTTACAACCCCGAAATTTGAGGTCTTAGAATGGGGTCCTTTTTCATGCGAGTATGTGATAGTGAAACCTTTCTTATCGCATTGTAGTAGTTCATAGCCGTACGGGCGAAGATGAAACAGAAAATAAACAGCATTTTGTTAGTTCAAAACTTGCTGAGTTTAAAAGCCGCTTTTTGAAAACGCACTGTCCTGTCCTTCAGTAATATCCTATATAATTTATTCTAATTCCCTCTGAAGAATAAAGAGGCTTTTTTGCCAATTATTTCAAGCTACATATGCCATAACGCTATCGTGGGAAGAGCGCCAGGCGTTTGACTACTGAAGTAAAGGGAAATAAACTTTTTTCTCTAGGGGAGTACGCTAATTCGTAGCATGCTTTGGCGAAAACCATGCAACATGTCAGTTTCATTCCGTTAAGCGTATTCTATCTTCGAAAGTTTGCTAGCGTTTCTAGCGTCACTGCAGCCCGTATCTCACCTAAGAGCACTCGGGCTGGGTGAGGAAATAAATACTGCTATTTTCGCTTGCAATCTGTGTGGACGGTAAAACGAATGCTGTGGGAGACCCTTCACCATTTTACGCGTGTTATTGGCCGGTCCATGGCGCCATCAACGAGCTAATGAATGCGCCCATCCGTGTCAGGTGCTACTAAACGCATTTGACTGGCGGGCGCCTGCTTAGAGACAACATTTCTGGCATCGATTATTTGTCACGGAGACTGCTTTCGCTCTCACAAAGGCGAAAACAGTTTTCGCTGCAGGCATGCCTGCGGCACCATCTGTATTGTATTATAAGTGTTCACTTGTGTGTTCATTTGTATTATATAAGCACGAGCATCACGTAGCGATCTCGTGGGCCATGTCTGCGCACTCGGCCGAAAACCGCGTCACCGGTTTTCATATAACTGAATAGATGGTGAGCCGTGTATGACATTTCCGCGGTTTGACCGTTCCACACACTTCAGTGCCTCTGTGCGGGCCAGGTACACACAGCTCTGTAATGTAATGCATAACATTTTGGATTACGATGCGTATATATATATATATATATATATATATATATATATGCAAGTTCATGTACATCAAGTACATATACATTCAAACATTTCAATTACCTTGCATATATATATATATATATATATATATATATATACGACCAAAGACAGTTTTATGGCAATATGCTCATTCTGCAGCTCCCAAACATCAAAGCTTGGTAGACGGCTTATAAGCTACACGAGATCCCAGTTATTTGAAGGAAACTGGGGAAATGATGGGGACCCGGTAAAGTGAATACTTACAGCCGATAGCGCCGACATACAAAGGAAAAACAGCAAAAGAAGTCTTGGGCTGGGAGGATAGCGAGGTCCACAGGGTGCATGAACACTCGGGCCACACTCTTTACCAATGTCAACACGCCGTGTTTGTCCCTGTTGTGGTTTTGCCAGGCCATAGGGCTCCACATATGATGCGATTTTGGAAACCCCATTTTGACGCCCTTGTCAGCGGACATGCCCTGGAGCCCCCCAAAAAAAGATCCTAGTGTCCGTTCCAGGGATGCCATAAGCCTGGAGCCCTATGGGATCCCGGACACGCCCGTAGGGTCCAGGCGCATACCATCATGTCAGTGCTGCCATACGCGCGTGTAGAGCTGGTCCCCACTCTGGAGAGCGGCCCTAATTGAGGTCACCGAGCTTGGAACTGGATGGGCTGGTCTTGCCTCAAACAGGTTTCCCCGTTTAAAGCACTAGTTGTGAAAGTCGATGGGATGGCATAAAGAGCCGCTGCACAGAAGGCCATGCTTACGGTCGGTACTACACTGAGGAAGTACACGCCGGCAAAACGGGGACTGCACCCTCGAGCACTGGAGACCTATTCATAGCACAAAGTGCGGTGACATCCGAGACCACGCCCACGGAACTGCAAAGGGAGCACGCTCATACCACACTCAGGGCTGCTATGGAGACCACGCCCAAACTCTTGGCCGCACCCCAGTTACACGGAAGGCCGTGCCTTCTCTAGCATCGCCGGCTCGAATTTGGGCTCACATGCAGGCAAACCGCCATGCAAGCGCATACTGGGTGTTTTTCGGCAATGCGCGGTCGCAATGCTGCCGCTACAACTGACTAGCGCAAGTGATGTCAGGAGTGTGCGCCGGGATGTTGCCGCTGCTCTCACTTGCACATGTGCTGCGGCCAGTTCGTGCTGGAGATGTTGTTACGGCTGCTGACGCGAGCTGTGGGGTCGACAGTGCATGATCGAGATGCATCCGATAATGGCCGACCTGACGGCGACGCCAAACAACTGCAGGCAGGTGCTCAGATGTGCTGGACGTGGACCGGGTCTCCAACATCACTCCGCAAGAGTTCGAGCTCAAGTAAGCAAAGCTCAACTGTTGACATGGTAAAAATAGACACAAACGCCTTCCGTATTAGTAGTTCTATTCTGATCACGTCGCCTTGCCTCACGTCCAGAAACTCGTATGCGTACATCAGAAACCCGATCCTTGACCTATCATGTTGTGAATCACACCGGATGGTAAGCTATTAGGCCCTAGATACGTCTTGGAACTCACACAAATGTCTTTAATGTTTATAATCCGTTGTTCTCGAGGGCTTAGCACGCAGACTTATTGAAGAAGCGATCCCATCTTAGTTCACGGACCACACCGCCAAAAGCATTAAACCATTGGGTCTGGACAGGCTCGGCGATTTAGGTCTGCGAAACAAAAGATTACGATTTATGTTTTCGGCAACCGTGACCGAAATATTTCCAAAAGAAAACACTTTGCGCACATGCTGGGCAGAGCGAGCCTGACTACCCACCCCCGTAGTTTCACGGTCTACCTCCACTCCATCCCAGAGACGGCGCAGCTAGCGGCCCTCGAGGCCGCGAGGTCTCGGAAGAATTGACATTGAACTTTTCTCGATCGATTTCTGGCGTAGCAGTGGGTTGGACAGTGTTTGGAGCATATTGCGATGTATAGATTATGCATTTGTCTATGCTGTGCAGCTGAATTCATGCATTTTTCCTCTGTCGATATCCAACATTAATCAGGAAACATATTCAAAAACGAGCGCATCGGTGGCCCGCGTCCGAACGTCCGAAACTGGCTGCGCTCGGGCCCCACACGTGGACCCACATATGAACTCACAAATTAACCCACACATGAGCTCACTTATGAACCCACACATTAACCCACGCATGAACCCACACATTAACCCACGCATGAACCCACACATAAACCCACACATCAGCCCAAGCAAACGACTTTTATGGCCTTCATCAAATGGTGTTGATCACGTATCGCCGGACTGCCTTGATTTGCCTTGCAGCCTGTTTTTGCCTCGGGCTTGTTTCCCGACCGTGTGGTACATCCTTTTGCAACAAAGAAATTTCACATCCCAGAGTGTCAACGGGAAATGTTCTACAAAGTCGGCAAGCGGCATTGCCATTAAGTACATGAATCCGCGCAAAGCGTAGACCATCACACAACCCAGCGTCTTCCCTGTCCAACGTTTTTCTTCATCGTTAGGCTGAATATTGCGCTAGATGTTGCCGGAAGAATGCGCTCCGGTGCGAGTGGCCGGCGTGTGGCGCAACACCTGCACCAGTCCAGCTACCCTGGGGCAGCGAGCGTCGCTGCCTCTGGCGGGCTCGCGCGTAGTGCACCCGGAAGCGCTCACACGCCTGGTGGCTCAGCTGGCGCCCGGCGGGAGGTGGCGCCCCATGAGCGGAGAGCTGACGCTGACGGTGTGGCCACCCGCTGGACGGCTGCCTGCACTTTAAGCTGGGCTTTCGCCTACGATCTGCAGTCGTCCCCCCGACTGGAGGCAGCGCTATTTCCGGCACTGGCTGCTGGATTGTCCGGTGGGGACGTCGGGCTGTTAGATCGCTTCATTGGGTGGTAGACGGCGATGAATCGTCTCGGTACAGATGAATGTGTCCGGGAAGGCGCTCAGGGCGAGTGCCTGTACGATCAGGGCGCGATTCCATGGTGAGGTTTCGCTCCAGAGCCCATTAGACCCAAGGTAAGAAGCTCATGACTTTCCCGGTGTTTTGTGGCCCATGACCGCACAAGTTCCCTTCAAAACCGGCCAGTCACTCGAGGACCCCAAGGTGACTTGCATAACGCCACGCACACTCGTGCAAAATAAATATGTGGATTCCACCATCCAGTGCAGTTATGAAGGAACAGAGCGATCACCAGCTACAACGTGATGTGACGTACTCTGGCCAAACGCCAGCACACCTGCGGAGCGGTCTGGTCTGAGCGGAGCGGCGCAGGCCGGTCGGGACAACGACGACGATTAGGGTACTTATCTACGGCTCGACTGGATTGCAAACACGAACATGCATTATCTGAGTCACGACAGCGACCAACGGGTGCCGGGTCACCGAATGCTTTGTCGCAATGTTATGGCGGGGGGAACTTACGCCACTTGTTTTTGGCTTCCTCGCCTAGCTACGACTCTCAATTTGATGTCCGACTTTCGCCCTCATTGCCCACATCGTATCACACGTTAATACTATATACGCATCTTGTCCTGATCACCCAGTGTATATATATATATATATATATATATATATATATATATATATATATATGCATACATATAGCTGCACCCACAGGTTTACGCCGGTTTCAGTTGCTATATCTGCGACCGACCTGTCGCCCACGCACATTTACATATTCAGATGAGGAATCGTTTAGTACCAGCCGCTCCTCAAAAGCCCTTGACTGCGTCTGTCTATTTGTGCCATTGGGGCATTTGATATCACAGCATCGTGTTGAACGAAGCGGACTCACACAAAGGCAGTATGGCTGTTTTACCATCCTGCTTTGCCATCCTGCATCACGCCAGACGAGTCGACATCGGGCGGTGTCCGGCGTGTGACCCGGCTGACCTTGACCCTTGGCGTCGCAGGTACGCGTACTCGGGCCGACCCGTCATCATCACGGACGGCACCGCCAACTGGACGGCCCCCGCCGTCTTCAACTTCCAGTTCTTCAAGGAGCTGTATGCGGAAAGCTCGGGGAGACTCGCGGCGGACAGCACGGAGAGGGGCTGCCAGTTCTTCCCATACAAGTGAGCCGCTCCCGGAGAGCTTCAGTTGGCGCTGGTCATGACTGCACCCCGGACAAAACTTCAGAACAGACAGTACAGGACAGATGGAACTTCAGGTTTGCAGCGGTCTGAACAGTTGGTAGAGTGAGATCACGCACGATGATTTTCTGAGACGCTGAAGTCATGATGTGAACACGTGATCATAACATGTTTGTGACAGAACCTCGGTGGTGTGGTTTGGACCCCGGTAAGTTCGAAAGGTAACAGAATGGTCGACGCAGGCGGTACGGTGAGAACTGACGCCCCTGCCGGTGATCCATGGACTTCTCATCCCCGTCATCCATCTCATCAATTTTTTACGCGCATGAATGTCCCTGAAAAACTGAAAATGGATGCAAAAAGAAGTGACAGATACGCAACAAAAATGAGATTGAAAACATGCAATTATGTTATATGCCCTATAAGCAGCTCCCATCACGCCAACGTAGATTTTCCGTGAGCGATTTTGAGTTGACCCCCCCCCCCCCTATTGCGATATCCTGCGTGCATAAGGACGCGGGAAGGGGGCTGGGGGCAGTGGGTGCAACTCACCTCCCAACTTGCAGGGCCTGTAGAGGCTCATGCTGGTCTGTCAAGGGTAATTCTGAACCGTAAAGAGATTATGGAAGCATGTAAAGGCTCATTCTGACCTGTCGAGGACTTATTCTGGCCTTTTAGGACCCATTCTGACCAAAGAGGGCACTTCTGAGCCTATCGAGGGCCCATTCCCGGCCTGAACGAAGCCCATTATTAGCTGTGAAGAACCCATTCTGGCCTGTAAAGGCCCAGTCTGATCCGTAGAGGGCCTAACATTAACTGGATGGCGTATTCTGGCCTATAGCGGGCCCATTTGACGTGTAGAGCGTCCTGTATTGACTGTCGAGGGCTCATTCTGGCCCGTACATGACGTATTCTGGCCAGCAGAGGGGCCCATTCAGGTTCGTAGAGAGCCCATTATTGACTGCAGTTTCCCATCATGCTGGCCTGTAGGGGACCCATTTTGCCTACAGATGGCCTATTATTGACTGTGAAGACCCAATTGTGGCCTTTAGAGGACCCATTCTGATCTGTCGATCTTCTATCACCGACTTTGGAGGGTTCATTATGACATGCGCAGGGGCTCCTTCTGGCTTGCACAGGGCCCACTATCGACTGTACAGTGCCCATTCCGGCCCGTAGAGGAGCCATTATTGGCTGAGGAGGGGCCATTCCAGCCTCTAAAGAGTCCACTCTGACTTATAGAAGGCCAATTATCGACTATGGAGGCCCATACTAACCAGCCGAGAGTCTCTTTCTGGCATATAGAGGGGCCCTTCTGGCTTGAAAAGAGCCCGCTCTGGCCTTACACGGGCCCATTTTGACTCGTAGAGATCCTATACTGACCTATAGTGGCCCAATCTAACCTATAGGGGCTCCATTATGGACTGCGGAGCATCTCGCTGTAGCATCTCGAGCATTATTTAACACCTAATCTCCTCAAAATGGTACGTTTAGTTTACATCTTCAGGTACGTCTCTTACCGCTTATGCTTATGAGGTGGCGCGGCCAGGTACCAGGTGAGGAAGACTCAGGAACTTAAAATGCCGCCACCAGGATTGTCTCTGCTATTAAACATGGCCAGCTTAGCTCACCGACTCTGGGGCCTCTGGGCTGGCCCGGATTGCTGATTGTGTAGGAAAGAGGAAAGTCATGAAAGCGTGTAAAGCTCTGAAAAGCAAGGGATTGCCCTCCCCCTCCGCCAACCCTGGCCTCTCAATCTCTTTTAAAGCCGCGTTCCTCTGTTTTATTGAAAAAGGCACCTCTCCCTGTCAGGGTCTCTCTGCCTGGCCAGTGCCGACGGACAGTCAGTAAGGGGAGATATCCTGATCGCGCCACGACAGCATGCGTTCTGCAGTGGCTCAGAATCTCTCATTTCAGAAGAATTGTTTGGACTATAGTCTTCATCTGTTGTGTCAGTATGTACGCAACGTTTCGGGCATTTCATTATCCGGCCGTGGTCAGGTTCGTCAGTCGCGAACCAAACTTGACAACGGCCAATTTTTTTTATAGAACAATTGTTTGTTAGCTAGATCCTGGATAGAATACACCGATTCACCCCAAGGAGAAGACTCGGGTTTTGATGCGTGAGTGGGTGGCAGCCGAACACCACCCAGACATCCTCAGAACTAATGACAGCTGACGCCGGCCTGAGCGGAAGCTGACCGAAGTGCTTTGTGCATGGGCTTTTATGCCAAACGATGACGATTGCACGAAAATTGCCATTTGGGATGAAGTCCATCCGCAATATTCGCCTCCTACCGGTACTGACTGACGCCGCCCTTGTTCGTGTGCATATAGCGTATACGCCTTTAAGGTGTGGTCATTCTCGATTTACATGATCCTGTGGGTTGGAAAAAAACGATGCTACTGGACGGCTATTCCAAATAATATGTATATATATATATATATATATATATATATATATATATATATATATATATATATATATATATATATATATATAGTCTTCGCTACACCTCACTTCGGTCAAACACCTGTCGGGTGCAGTCAAAAAACATTGGACGAGACAACCGCCTTCAGCAGGCCGTGTTTCATTCAAACTTGTCTTCCAAACACCTGTCCTGGAGCTGACTCTGGATGATGTGGTGAACTCAAGCTTTGACAAAACGTATGCCATCACCCCCCGATAAACTTAACCAGTGCCAGAGCGCCAGGCTCCGACGTTTTGAATGCGCTTGCAAAAACCGCTTGGGTAAACATGGAAAGTCATTATGACACCGCAATAAGATAGTCAGAGTTAATTCACTCGCAAATGAAGCATAGCATTGACTGACCGGAACTTTGGCGTCGAATAAGTGAGCAAGAGTGGTGTTAGCTCCTCAGAGCTATTTCGCTTATTTGTAGTTCTATGCTGTGGCCACGCCGAGCTGATGCCTCAAAGTACTGAAAAGGCAACACGTTTCATGGTTGCGGGACCAAGAAATATAATTCAACGTGGTATGAAGGTAACGTGGTATCTTAACCAGGCCATGCAAAACTGCTAAGGATAGATTCTGGCATGACAGTCCTATCGAGAATACACCTGTGCGTACATGTGGAACAGTCCACAGCTGTTCGATTGTTGGCTCCGGCACAAGTCTCAAAAGAACGGGAAGGATAGTATTGTCCAATTCGTAGACTATCATATTTGAATACATAGGCGGGATAAGGACCTAATGAAACAACGATGATTAAGCATAAGCATAAACAACGGCCAGCGACGTCCGCGTAGCGGCACGCAGCACGATTACGACGTCTGTTTCACTGGGTGCCTGGAAACTCCGTACACCGCACAACGCAACTTGGTGCGCTCACGTGCTTACGCTCCCCTCTGGCATGCAGGTAGGATGATAGGTAGGTAGGCAGATTTTCGTGACACAGCATATCTCCTGACACCCGGCATTGTCCTGGTCAGCTCAGCATCTGAAGTCGTCGGGATGCGCTCGATGGTGGAACGCTTTGGAGCAGACCTCAGAATAGTTCAGATCAGGGACAGGAACCGGTGGTAGTTTGACCGTCACTTCCTCTGTCTTTACCTACGGTATCAGCCCACATGAGTGACCTACCCCATATCAACGACCTAACCTTGTTCAGCCTCGCCTGGATTTTCACACTGGTGGTGTAAAACATTGATATGTCGTTCGGTTGTACACATGCGTCTCAGCTGTTCTGAATTGAACGGCTTTCATCTTTCCCGCAGCAGCAAGGCCCAGTCCCGTTATGTTTCAAACGTCAGTGCCATAGCCCCTTCACGTTACACCCCCCATGTTCACGGCTGTCGACTCCAAACACTCCAAAATGGCCTCGGCCCCAGCCTGAAACACACCACGCCGCAAAACGGCAGCCGCTCCGTCCGCCGTCGACTCGCGGACGCTCATGTGCCGCTCTCCGTGCTGCAGGACTGACTTCGACGGCCTGAGTGACGTGTTCTCCATGTCGGCGGCCCGGGCCAACATGCAGAAGGGCGAGGAGCCGTGGTACATCGGCTGGTAGGGTCACCTTCGCCACCGCAGCGGCGCCGGCGGGGCTGACCGCGGCCGTGCGGCCAGTTCTGCACGGCAGCTCAGGCTAAGCCCTGTTTTTACTTTAGAATTCAAGCCTGAGGGACACGTAGCTTAGTGGTTTGCAGAACAAAATCTGTGGTTGTGGGATTTCCAGTGGATGTTCCTTCTGAGATACAGCTGCACGCTTTATTATTAGTATCCTGAATTGGGGAAAAATACACCAACAAGGTAAGGAAATTGCTGTTACAGGTCTGTTTCAACGTTATGCTGACTGATGCGTCGGATATTGGAAGCATCTGTATGCACCTTAAGTGTGCCTCATGTGTGTCAGTAAATGCTTCGGTGAACACTTCGTGGGCGCATAATGCATGGTTAACGCGGCAACGTTGCCAATTTAGCGCTGCTTAGGGCCAAACCGAAATATTCATCCACCGGAAGATTCGAGCCCAAGACCTTCTGCTGGGCAGGTCTAGCTGCGACTCGGCGGCGGGGAACGAACTGCGCCGCCACTACACCCGGCCTTACTTCCTGCCGGAGACGGCCGAGTTGAGCCGACTCGACTGGATCTTCATGGGCACGCCCGGATTCGGCGCACATTTGCATGTTAGTTGCACAGTCACTGTTGTCCCGTTGCAACATGTGTTTGACACATATAGCAAAGGACTCCGCCACCCTAGTGGAATTTAACATTACGTCTATGGGCGTCGCATACAGAGACAGACCCTAAATCTCCGATGAACCCTCCTAACTTTGATCCAAGAAGGAAACCCAGATTTTTTTGTTTTGGGCAGCCGTAGCATGATAATAATCATGGACAATTACCATCCCAAGCAGCCCATCCTTAAAACACTTCCTACTAAGCCTACTTAAGAGACCGCCCTGTATCGACTGTCCGGTATTGCGGCAGCCATGCTGGATAAATTTAATATAAGCGCAAAAATGCCAGTATAACATGAGCAGAAATGATGTTCCTTTGCTCAATCTGAAAGATCTATTACACATACATACCCACGCAAATGTACACATATAGCATATACATGTATACACACATCATATATATATATATATATATATATATTATATATGCATGCTTGCGTTTTGCTACTTTGGTATTGAGAGTTGTACATGAAACATCTATTTCTGGTGCGGTCCTTCATCAGAGATGGTAAGGACCAGCAAAACAAAGTCAGAATGCAAGACGTTTGGCAGTTTTGTTGACGAGTATAACAGTCCTCAATGATGGGTATATACGCATGCCACATATCGGTCGAAACAGCTTACGAATTCTTTAAATAAAACGTCGTCAGTGCAACTGGACAATACTTTCAGCTTGCGCGTATCTAATATGGTAAAATTGTCCACACCATCACTCGAGCTAAGCAATTCCGTAATCCTACAAGTCAGTCGCGGTTCGTGACGTATT